TGACTCAAATAAAGGCATTTGGTGGGCGTATAACTAAGTGTGCCCTTGCGAAAAACATACATGTTCTTATGTAACACAGACTGGATTTCAATTTGTTACTAGGATATAATTTGCATAACTATTTTCAATTTGTGGTTTATTTGGAAGACTGTCATACATCCCCAAATGGGACTTTTTTTAATGTCAGAAATTGTACAATAATAAATTTTAAAATGAAATACTACAGGATATCAGGACATAAAATAATTCAAAATACAGTCTTATCTTAATTATTCAAGGTATGATAGACTGATCACCTAATTGTACTACCCTCAAATAGCCTGAACATTTTCCAGCAACCATTTTTTACAGGTTTCTTAATTATAATCATACTCTCTATTTCTCTCTTAAAAGGCAAGGATTTTTTTAGCTATCAGAATTCAGATTATTGGACTCTTCCTAGGTACATATGCAAATCTATTTTCTGTTTGTGGGAAGTCAGATCTTTCTTTGGTCAAAAGGCATCTCAAGAGTATATAATTGAGCCCACAGAGGTTTGGGTTTCTCCGCCAACTTTACTAATGGGATGCTACTTATCAAACAGCTCTGCATTCTCAAAGAAACTGAAGAGCTCTTCCACAACTTCCCCAAACAAAACAGGTCTCAGGTAGTCAAATTCATAGTCAGGTAAAAATTTTATTCAAAATGAAAAACGAGTCTTTTAAGCTTTATTTGTAATGCCAACAGCGTGTGAGATTGCAGTAGGAGTTTGAATGCAAAACAATGGAGAATCAATCAGCTCATCTAGAAATCCTGATAGTGAGGCTCATGGTCTGAACTGATACTTAAAACTTATTATGGTTATTAGAGCTGTTGTTATTGTATTATTTTCCCCTTTTCCCATTCATCCTTTCCTTCTTAGGTAAAGAGGTTAAACAAAAAAGTGGAAAAAAAAAATAATGGCTAACAAAACCACAGCATAGGGTTCAATGTAGGATCTGCCAGTAAAAGTGTTCCTTCTCTTTAGGGCTAGCTAACCAACTCAAATGTTCCTGTTGAATCACTGGCAGGTTACCAAGTGAACAGTTTCACATCTTCACAAACTCATGGCCACCATTTATCTGTAACAGATGCTCAAAAATCATCGTCACAAATGCTGGGAATGGAAGAGAACTATTAGATCATTCCTTTTGGTTTGTCTAGGTCAGGATTATTCCAGAAAACTAGACTACTCTAGTGCTTTGCTGAAAAATTTTCTATACAAAGAGACCAACTGCCTCTTCCTCAGGGCAGACTTTTCTTATTCTAGATTCAGAGTCATATATGTGCATGTTTTGGTCTCTTTTGCACATTACATTGCCTCATATTTCTTCATTTCAAGTTCTCTGGGTATAATGAACAAGTCCTTTTACTTGTTTAACTACCAATAATTAAACAAGGTAAACAGTGAAAATACGGTAGGTCCTGCCACAATTACGGAGTGAAGAATCTGGTTGTCACTGCCAACAGCCACAGGTAGAATACTACCCTTCTCCTTTTCAAGTTTGCTTAAATAATTATGTTTTCCCACAAATCATCACCAGGAAATAACTTATAAGAAGCGAATAATACCCACTATTAAGTGTGTACTGTGCCAGGCACTGTTCTTAATTCTATATATTAATAATTTCTTATTTTATTGTCATGAAAACTCTGTGAAGCAGAAACAATTATTATTGCCATTTTAAAAATGCAGAGACTGACGCACAGAGCAGTTAAATAACTTGCTGAAGTCACAGAGCTAATAAGTGGTGGAGTCAGAATTCACATTCAGGCTCTTTTACTCCAGGAAGTATGCTCTTCTTACTAGCTGCCGTAAGTAATTAGAGGCAGCTATCACGCAGAACTACTTGGAGAGAGTAAACTCCTTAAAAATTAACAACAGAATGAAGTAAATTCTGAGCCAAGTTGTAGAAACTGAGACAACTCCAACCTAGGACAGACGATTAACAGAACTTGTTCAACACAGGGACAGGAGTCCAGAACACAGCAGAAGAAAGTCTACTCCCTTAGTGAGCTACACAGTTAAAAAGAATCGAGAGTTTGTTGTATTAGAACGCACAATATGTCAGTGTTGGGTATAGCTACATTTAGGTTAATTGTATAGTTTTCAATGGAGATTTTATGGATCCTCACTTTATATTTGTATGCCAAACTTTTAAAATCTACATTTAAGAAAAAAAAAAACAGGTGTTTGAATTCACTGTTCTAGATGGAAAGAACAGAATAATTGTTGCTTCCCGCCTGGTGGAACCATATAGGTTGGTCTACAGAGCAGCACAGTCAGAAAAGATCTGTAAAGAACCACCACTCTCTCAACAGAACATCTGGGTAGGGGATTAGGCCTAAGGGGCTGAGATAATTTATTAAAAGGAGGGTACTAAACAACCATTTTACTAAGATGTGAAAATGAAAGACACAACAAGGGGAAATTTAAGTGCAAATTAAAGCAAGGACTACTTTAAAAACGTTAAGTTGGTAAATCTGCACAATACAAAACTGGTGGAAAATCTAAGAACATCACGACGCCATAGTAAAAATATCCGGAGCAACTGAAGAAGGTGATTTAAGAGGTAGGTCATCTGTCAGAGCCAAGTGTTAACGTTTTATTTCTAGAACTTTTATTTAATGATTGCTTATTAAATTTCTATACCACTTATAAATTTCTCTATACACTTTATTTACTTATCCCATGCCTGATTGTGTGAGTGCTTATCTTACCAAAAACAGTTTTGCTAATCACAGTACTTTTCAGAAATGTAATCTCCAATCTGGGCTGGTAAGGGAAGTTCATAATAGAGTTTAGTACTGTGGAACCAAAAAACACACACACACACACAATTCCCTTTTCATGGTTTGAAGTCAAGCATTCTTTTAAAAATTACTTCAAATGTTTTCAAAGTCCTGATAATAAAAGAAAATTCCTACACAAATACAGCCTATTTTGCTTTAAATACAAATTTGATGTGAATGGGAAATATCTGAGAATTAAAGTCAAGATATTGGTATATAGAGAAAACAAAACGAAATTTATACACTGTTGCTTCAGCAAGGACCATTTCTGCTGAGGAACATCACACATGATACTTTGTTTGCCCCAATATTATATCTATCCTTCTTCCATTTTCTTTTCTTTTTTGTTTTTGAAAGATTTTATTTTTTTCCTTTTTCTCCCCAAAGCTCCCCAGCACACAGTTGTATATTCTTCGTTGTGGGTCCCTCTAGTTGTGGCATGTGGGATGCTGCCTCAGCGTGGTTTGATGAGCAGTGCCATGTCTGCGCCCAGGATTGGAACCAATGAAACACTGGGCTGCCTGCAGTGGAGCACGCAAACTTAACCACTCGGCCACGGGGCGAGCCCCCTTCTTCCATTTTCTTAATTACTTTGGGCCCTGATTTAATTTTCTTCTCCAGTCTATCTTTTACCATGTTCTAGGAATGGTTCCCTGACCTCTTTAAATCAAATGATTTTACCCTTTTCGCCCAGGAGTTACATCTACTATTCCAACACCAAAATATCAACTTTGAATTTTACCATCAGTGATTAAAAATTTGTCTTACAATTCCTTCACTAACTTGCTCCTAGGAAGCATATTTGCAAACATTTTTCTCATGATGACATTCCGAACCCTAACCTCTCCCTATCTCCCAGCATATCAATCTATTTCCGGCTTTAAGGATTCATCACTTCCAAGAGCAGATCAACTGTAATGCTTTTGTCAAAGGTTAGAATCTCTTAACCTTGCACTGGGGCCTAATAATCCATAGGCAGAGGTGATATCCCAACACCTGCTTCCTTAACTTTTAGGTTGCTGTCATGAAATCACAATAATCATGTCCCAAGAAAATTCACACTGAGGTATCATGGCAAGATCCTCTGCTGTTCTATAATTCTGGTATTGAACATTTATTGATAGTTCAGAGTAGCAGAAAAGAAAAGGTGGTGTTAGTTTAAAACACTAGCTGAGATGAGGAAAGTTTGTTTACTTAAGGTCAGAGAGACTATGCACTTATGCAGAGAAGGAACTAACAGAAAGCGAGCAAGATTATGTGAGAGAAAACTAATAGAGGAAGATTGCAGAGGTGGGGCCGAGTGCTTAAAATCTGCGATAGAGATGAGAAGCTAGCATTATGAAGGAGAAAGAACATCTCCTCTGAGACAGAAGAGGAGACAACAAAAGCAGAGATAAATGCTCAGGTAAAGAAGGTAAGTGAGGGATCCCAGGATAGACCTGGTTTCAGTAAAATGAGTGTAGGACAATTAGGTGGGGGTAAGGGCTGGGAACAGCAAAGGATACAGAACTACTGCTCTTTCCAAAGAGACGTATTTGTTCTACAGAGAAGTAAATCAGAACTTTTCAAAGTCACAGAGAAGAAAAAGAAGCATCTATTATGTACTAGCAAATGTAAACATGCTTCACAACAGATTATCTAAGGAAGCCACCAGATGAGGGGGGAATAGAAAAATGATGTACAGCAAAGTTTTGGTAAAAGTGACAATTTTGTAAAAATAGACTGGAGAGTGTAGCAAGATGTTAATTGTTAAATATGAGTATAGGAATATGAAGGTTCATTATACTATTCTCTCTACTTTTGTGTACCTTTGGAAATGTTTACAATAAAAAAAAGTTTTAAAAAATTGCCTAGACACCATATGATCCCAGGACCAACGGTCATCTTCTTCATTAAGCTCAATAATCTGTCTGAACTCTACAGGAGATTTTAGAAATTTCAGACGTGCAACTGGATACAGATACATATAATCTAGATGACTTTAAAAGTCAGTGAAGAGGAGGCAAAATACTTCCACTTGACCAGGATTTGTTCTAAATTTGTTTTATGGAGTGAGAAACACAAGTTCGCGTTAAAATCAGGCTAAGTGTGTCGACACGGGGGTAATAAACAGTGCCGGAAGATGGAAGTAATGAGGAAAAGTATTTATACTAAGCACATGACTGAAGAATAAGATCATAAACACTTACTTCATCTCCAGAACTTCCTCTAGGTGTTTCCTTCTCTCTGCCCGAAGATTGGTCAAATGAGTTTCCTTTTCTGCCAGGGACTGCTGAGTAGAGGACAGCTTTGCTTTCATGGACTCCAGCTCCTGCTTCACTTTCTCCATAGCCATCAGTAACTCTTCCACCTGAGATAAATATGGGAAAGAGAAAAACTGAACATCTGGACCAATTAAAGTTAGAGGAGCTGGACAATGGGCAACTCCTGGGTCCAGAAAACTGAAGACACACACACATCAAAAATTCTGAACTCTTTCTGAATTAGACACATATCTCAAGAAGATACAGCAGATAAAGAAATAACTCTCATCCCTCCACTATAATCCTTCTTGGTGTAGGTCAAAAGAACTTCATTTTCTTTTTGACAAATCCAAGAGCATGTAAGTTATCAGTTCAAGAAGTCACACTCTGCAATAGACAGTCTCTTTTAAAGAATTTACTTAGAAATGGTCCAGAAACTTCCATGAAATAACAATATAATGCAGATAAAAATATAAGGAACAAATCGTAGTGAATATCTGCAGAAAGATTTTAGGAAATAAAAGACAAACTTGACTAATAACAGATTCAGTTTAAACATAAATGAGTCATTTTTATTCATCTAAACTAACATTTTTTCAGTTTACAACATTAAAAAGAATTTCTTTTTAAAGAAACAGCTGGAATTCAATCAAATACTTTCTTGCTCTAAAGCCAGGTAGGTAGAGTTTTTTCAGAGGAGGCAGGAAGAAAAAAAGGAAAAATATATGACCAAATGGAGAGGAGAGAGAATACTTAAAAAAGACCTAAGAGAAAGAATACAGAATGCTAACACACAAGAAACTAAGACAGCAAGGTATGTACTTTATCAGGTATTTCTACTTACTCTGGGTGGTTCCCAAATCAGAATTATTTAAATAAACATGTTCAATTTAATTCAGAAGCAAAAAAAATGCTGACAAAATATCTGTTATTACCAAAAAGCAACCTCAACCAGGTAATCAACCAGGCAACTGCATCAATCACAACAGTTTACATCAGGTTGCTACTTGCCAAGAAATAATTTTGAAGACAGTCCTTTTAAGAGGCAGAGGTGACCGCAGGCAGAGACAGGGGATCTGCCATTCACTGACTCCTACATGAAACCAATTTGAGTGACATTAAAACTGAGAGCAGTCTGGAGACAAACCTGCAGTAGAAGAAGTCAGAGTTGAAACAGACCCCTAAGTGTTAGTCCCTCACACCCAACTAAAGTCTCCACCTTGACTGCTGACAGCCGCTAAACACTGCTGGTAAACAGAAACATTTAGTTTTTTGGCACCTGAATTACTTTACTTTGTGTATCTTTTCAGAAGTGATAGAGTTAATGTTCTCAACTAATAGCATCCTGACAGTCCCAGTTGTTGTGAGAACATACATTACTATGCAGATCTCCTCGGGTACATATTCCCATATCTGCAAGCTTTACATGAATATATATCACTTTCTGACCTTTTGAAAACTGTCAATAAGGATGAATCCATTTAATCAGTTTAATTCATATAAAATCTTATCTAAAACTGGACTGAAACGATACACAAGGTATGTTTCTATAACACAAAATCAGTAATCTACACCGCCATTACAGAAGCTCTACTAAATAAAGCGTGGGATGTGTCCATCTTTTATGAACTTAACGTGAACATATCTCAAAAACTCTCCCTCCCATCCTGCCTTTAACTTCTCCGGGCAAGCAATGGTATCAGTTTCTTATATAACTTGGAGAGAGACTTCATACATACACAAGCATGTATACATAACCTAGTCTTCCTTTTTCTACACAAAAGGAAGCCTGCTGTATAAACACTCATCATCTAAAACTTTCAGTAAACTTTTTATTGAAATACAACATAAATACAGAAAAAATATACAAACAATAAACGTACAAATTGAAGAATTTTCTATAAGTGAACACACCTATGTAATCAGCATACAGACCAATAAACAGAACATTACCAGTGTACCCCAGAATCCTCCCTCATATTTCCTTTCCAGATAAAGAGTAACCATTATTCTAATACTCTTGATTAGTTTTACCTATTTAACTACATACAAACAGAATTTGCATAGCATATAATTTTAAGTACAGATTTTTTTCACTCAGTGAGATTCATCCATATTCTTGGGTAAAATTATAGTTCTGTAATTCTCCTAACTGTACGATATTCCACCGTGTGAAAATACCAAAATTTGCTAAGGGCACTAGTGATAAATAGAAATTTCTTAATTTAATGGAGTTTAATTTTTTCCTTTACATTTCTTTCATGTTCAGAGGCTTTTGTAAACTGAATAAGAAAATTCTGTCTATCTCAAGGTCATAAGGATATTCTTCTATTTTTTCTTCTAAATTCTTTATTTCACATTTAGATCTATCACATATATGCACGTGATTTTTGAATACAGTGTAATGGTGAAAATTAATTTTTCTCAACATGTATATCCAAGAGACTGAGCACTATAAACAGGAGAACATCAACAGTCATGGTGGGAAGATAATTATGGCATATTTGGCAAACAATCAAAAATTATTTAAAGACTATTTATAAATTGTAGAAAAACTAATATAATAATGCTTTATATGGCACATAACCAACTTTGAGTTTCATAAATAAGCAATGTGAAATATTTTATGCATACTGACAAAAATAATATGTCTATATCCTAGAACCAAGAGGCAAAATACATATCTATATACTTACCACCAAGGAGCTTTGTAAGTGCAACTGTTGAACTGTATCCCCTAAGTCCCCTGTGACATATAATCACCATTCTGTTTTTTGGTGTTCTTGAGTTCATAATAGCTCACATCATGTGAGATTTCAGTTGTACATTATTTCTTGACTCTCATCACATAGGCGCTCCTCTTCACCCGCTGTGCACACTCCCCATCCCCCTTGCCCTGGTAACCACTGAACTGTGTTCTTTGTCCATGTATTTGTTTATATTCCACAAGTGAATGAAGTCATCTGGTGTTTTCCTTTCTCAGTCTGGCTTATTTTGCACAGCATAATTCCCTCTAGGTCTTTCCATGTTATTGCAAATGGGACAATTTGTCTTTTCTTCTGGCTGAGTAGTATTCCATTGTATACATATACACACCATGTCTTCTTTATCCAATCATCAGTCGATGGGCACTAGTATAGTTTCCATGTCTTGGCTATTGTGAATAGTGCTGCAATGAACATAGGGGTGCAGATGTTACTTTGGATTGTTGATTTCAAGTTGTTTGGGTAGATAGCCAGTAGTGGGATAGCTGGGTGATAAGGTAGTTCTATTTTTAGTTTTTTGAGGAATGTCCATACTGTTTTCCATAGTGGCTGCACCAGTTTGCATTCCCACCAGCAGAGTATGAGGGTTCCCTTTTCTCCACACCCTGTCCAACATTTGTTACTTTTAGTCTTAGTGATCATAGCCATTTTAACAGGCATAAGGTGGTCCTTAGTGTATTTTGATTTGCATTTCCCTGATGATTAGTGATGTGGAACATCTTTCCATGTGTTTATTGGCCATCTGCATTTCTTCTTTGGAAAAATGTCTGTTCATCTCCACTGCCCATTCTTTGAAGGGGCTGTTTATTTTTCTTAATGTTCAGTTGTGTGCGTTTCTTATATATTTTGGAGATTAATCCTTTGCCAGATAGATAATTTGCAAATATTTTCTCCCAATTGGTGGGTAGTCTCTTTGTTTCAGTCTAGTTTCTTTTGCCTTGCAGAAGCTCTTTAGTCTGATGAATTCCCAATTGTTTATTTTTTCTTTTGTTTCCCTTGTCTGAGAGGACATGGTATTCGAAAAGATCCTTTTTAGTTCGATGTCAAAGAGTGTACTCCTGATATTATCTTCCAGGAGTTTTATACTTTCAGGGCGTATCTTCAAGTCTTTGATCTATTTTGCGTTCATTTTTGTGTATGGCGTGAGATAGTGGTCTACTTTCATTCTTTTGCACGTGGCTATCCGGTTTTCCCAACACCACTTATTGAAGACACTATCTTCTTTCCACTGTATGTTCTTGGCACCTTTGGTGAAGATTACCTGTCCGCAGATGTGTGGTTTTACTTCTGGGCTTTCAGTTCTGTTCCATTGATCTGTGTGCCTGTTTTTGTACCCGTACCATGCGGTTTTGATGACTATGGCTTTGTAGTACATTTTGAAGTCAGGGATTGTGATACTCAAGCCTTCTTTCTTCACAGGATTGCCTTAGCAATTCGGGGTCTTTGGTTGCCCCATATGAATTTTAGGATGCTTTGCTCTATTTCCGTGAAGAATGTCACTGGATTCTGATTTGGACTGCATTGAATCTGTAGATTGCTTTGGGTAGTATGGACATTTTAACTACGTTTATTCTTGCAATCCATGAGCAAGGAATATCTTTCCATGTCTTTATGTCATTATCTATTTCTTTCAGTAATGTCTTATAGTTTTCATCGTATAAGTCCTTCACTTACTTGGTTAAATTTATCCCTAGATGTTTTATTCTTTTAGTTGTGATTGCAAATGGAATTGTATTCTTGAGTTCTCTTCTGTAAGTTCATTATTGGAGTACAGAAAAGCAGCTGATGTTTGTAAGTTGATTCTCTACCCTGCAACTTTACTGTAGTTGTTAACTATTTCTATTAGTTTTCCAATGGATTCTTTGGGGTTTTCTATATATAAGATGATGTTGTCTGCAAACAGCAAGAGTTTCACTTCGTTAGCCACTATTTGGACTCCTTTTCTTCCTTTTTCTTGCCTAATTTCTCTGGCCAGAACCTCCACTACTATCTTGAATAAGAGTGGTGATAGTGGGCATCCTTATCTTGTTCCTTTTCTCAGGGGGATGGTATTCAGTTTTTGCCCATTGAGTATGATGTTGGCTGTGGGTTTGTCATAGCTGGCCTTTATTATGCTGAGGTAGTTCCCTTCTATCCCCATTTTGTTAAGAGTTTTTATTAAAATGGCTGTTGGATCTTGTCAAATGCTTTCTCTGCATCTATTGTGATGATCATATGGTTTAGATTCCTCAATTTGTTGATGTGGTGTATCACGTTGATTGATTTGCAGATGTTGAACCATCTCTGTGTCCCTGATATGAATCCCACTTAATCAAGATGTATGATCCTTTTGCTCTATTTGT